TATATATATATAATGTATATAATAGCCACAAAGGATATATATCCACTTTGTGTGCATCCAATGACTTGACATACCCAGATATCTTAAAAGAGAAGAAATGACATCATCAGAGAGCAGAGCTGTGGGAGGGACTCAGCCGATCCACATACTACAGGCTACCTGCAGGGGAAACTACAGGAGGGGGTGGGTACAAGACCAGTCACCCTGCACAAGGAAGGAGAGCAGCAGAGACCGGTCTTTATTACAGGAAGCTCTGGCACAGAGGCAAAGTGCAGGACTTGCTTCATGCTAAGTTACTGCAAAGATCTACTTTACTATGTAATTCACATCCAGAGGCTGTAATTACTAGTAAGGGGAAACTTCAGTGGACTCTTCTGTGTATACCGTACTATAGGTGACATCTAGGAAAGGTGAGATACATTTCTCCATACTGTACCTTATATGCTTGCCACAACAGGTTTTAAAACATTAAAGTGTTACGTAGTTGTACTATGGTACTATTATGGTAGCATTGATTATCTCTTTTTATTGGGATTTTAATGTGGGCCACCTATTTGTTCTCCCCTAACCTTTCTATTGGACAAAATGTGGGATTTGCTGCTTTGTGGGCCAGGAGAAGGGAGGACTGACAGTAAGAGTTCTAGTCACTGTTTCTATGAGTGTGATCCAGTTTGTGGGGTAACTACCGGTAGTGTGTTTTTATAGTTTATTATTTTGAATATTTTCCAACATTATTATGAATATACTTGTTTCGAAACATCCAAATGAATCGTGTACAGAACTGTTGTGTTTTTAAATGTATGACAGTCATGTGAAGTAGTATTGAGGGGAGCAGCTACAAAATGTCCGCTCCAGGGTATGGAAGTCAGCTCTGCCACAGCTCCAGCAGTGGAACTTCAGCTTTTAGCTCAGGATCTTATCTAAGGCCGGCCATGGTGTCAGCTTCATGCCTAGGATCCTTGCCAACCCTACTGTATATATCTCTGTGATATCATTCAGCAATATCTGTTGTCTGCCTATGGAAATAAAGATAACTGCTTTAGGAAATGCATACAGTATTTCATGTTAATAATCAGCATTGTTTTTCTCTGTTCCAGATTGGATTTGTGCTGTTTCCTCCTGGTGGTGGCCCTGAGTGGAATCAGAACGATCACAATAATGTAATGTTTATTACAATGTGCTACTGCTGGCATTACGCTTTTGCTCTTCTGATTGTCGGAGCCAATTATGGAGTAGTTACTTGGTAAGCAGTATTCTTTTACCTTGTTTGTTTTAAAGGGGAACTTCTACTTATTTAAATATATGTGTGAACTTGATCATAGTAACATAGTAGGTAAGGTTGACGAAAGACACAGATCCATCTAGTTCAGCGGTTCTCAACCTTTCTAGTGCTGCGACCCTTTGATAAAATTGCCCAAGTTGTGGCGACCCCTAACAGTAAAATTATTTTCATTGCTCCTTCATCGCTGTAATTTTGTTACTGTTAGATAGCGGCTCCCGAGCGCTCGGGAGAGAAACACTTTGTCCCGGAAAGTTTTACTCTGCTCGATAGAGCAAAGTAAACCTTTCCCTGCTCTGTTTTTTTCTGACATCGGAGTCGCCGGCCGCCATCAGTCAGAAGAAAAAAAAAACAAAACAGCATAGGAATGCATAGCTAGATTCCTATTGGCTATTTCAATTTTGCAATATCCAATAGCAAGCTGGCTATTGCACCCGCCCTCTGCTGCTATCAACCACTAGAAGAGGACCTGATGGAGAACTTCAGGTCCCCCACTGCTGATTGACAGCAGCAGTGAGTGGGTGCAATAGCTAGTTTGCTATTGGCTATTGCAAAGTGAAATAGCCAATAGCAATCTAGCTATGCATTCCTATGCTGTTTTTTTTTCTCTTTTTTTTCTAACGGCCGGCGGCTCCGATGTCAGAAACAAAAAACCCCAGAGCAGGGAAAGGTTTACTCTGCTAGATCGAGAAAGTGTTTCTCTCCCGGGCGTCCAGGACCCGCTATCTAATAGCGGGAGACTCCCAGAGCGTCCAGGAGAGTTGGGATGTCTTTAGACGACACCTGGCAAATCGTCATTTGACCCCCGACGGGGTCGCGACCCACAGGTTGAGAACCGCTGATCTAGTTCAACGTGTGTGTGTGTGTGTGTGTGTGTATTTGGCTGTAGTAGTCATCATCATTTTAAAGCAAACAGTTGGGCCGATTTATCTATTTGGTCACATCATCAGCATCTTTTAAACTATTGAATCCCTGATTCCTAGTGCATATAGCGACATAAACTAGGATAATAAATCTGTTTCATTCTTAATTGCCTTCATAGGGAGAATTGTCTCAAAATTGTGTATAAATTGTCCCCATCTCTAAACTGTCAGAAGCTGGCAGGGAGCCTCCCAGAAGACAACTGAACTGCCCTGAAGTGCTGAGCTGACTTGAGGGAATTAAGCTGAGTTATCTTTGTGACACAAAGTGCTCAGGTGGACTTCTAAAATGTCCGATAGTTTGGAGGATTTTTAATGTCACAAATGCTGGATGCAATTACTGTGCAGTTAGGAAATTATGCGACATTTTGCAAAAGTAAGTGGCAAACATGAGTATGTCGCAAGAACACTTTGAAAATGGCGCGAAACAGAGATAAAACTTTGCAATTAGCATGACATTTTGGCCTTTGCAACAAAAAATTACCCCCACTGAGTGTTTAATGTTTAATGTTTTGTGTACCGTTTGTAATTCTATATGTACATGGAAGGAAGAATATTTTCCCTTTTCATTATCTATCTGCATATGGCTTGTAAGCAGGGGCGGCCCGAGGCTGGGTGACACCCGGAACGGTTATTGGGTGTCCCCTCGCCGGCTCGCCACCGCTCATGACGTCACCACGAGCGTGCGCAATGACATCAATGACGTCAAATGCCCACTAGAGCGAGCATGGCCAAATCTGCATATGAAATAAAATGAACAAAATATGTAACAACAACATATGTTCCATGTTGCAATAATTACTCTGAATAGGTACTAATTAAAGGTGCGCTGTAGTTTTCCTTTAAATAATAAGGATTTTCCAAAAGTTACCCCTCTGCTTGTGTCAACTTGGAGGGTCCGCTTTCTTGTAGTGACTTTCTTGTGATCAGGAGCTCTGCTTCAACTTTACACCTTTTTAATTATAGTGATTTTCTATGAGAGTCATTTACAGGAATGTTTAGACTTCATTCTGGCAAATACTGTAAAGCCTAATTAGATGAGTGTTTACAAGGTGGTAGGATGAACCCATACCTGCACTTTTGAAAACCCCCCAATACTAAAAACCGATACCAGCACTTTCAATTTTCAAATGGAAGCGGCTGCCTTAGGTCCCACGCTTGCTGGGGATTTGGGCAACCTTCTTGTCAACTATGCAGCGCCTGCGCACAGCTCTTCCGCCGCCCGCCCATCTCCACCTCCTGAGACATCAGGCCGGCTCCTCGGAACAGCACAGAGTATGTAGAGTATCTGATCACTGTCTGGTGTCCATGGGCAGATTTTCACTTACTGTATGCATATATCCTAAATCTCCATAAGTTCAGTGTTTTATTACACAGATCAGGCTTTATAAATTGTATTTCTTGTAGGGTGGTTAACACAAAGCTGAAGAGCGCTCAGACGATGGAGATGGAGCTACTGAAATCCCAGCGAAGAGATCAAGACTCAGACGATGACTTTTAGTAGACCATTCTCATATTTAGCCTAATGATGATTTCAGCATTCTGATTCATATCATTTGTACTGTATAATAGACCAAAATAATATGTAATAATGTGTAATAATGTGTACAAAGTAACTATTTTAATAATTGTAAAGTTTTGACTTCACCAGCTGTATAAAATACTCTGATCCTGTTATCTCACATATACCTGGGGATTGGGATCATAATATAATGGTAAAGGGAGGCTGTCATAGCTATTTCAGGATACATTTGCTGCTGAGAAAATCTCTATGTGATTACTGAATGCTTAGACATCTGTCAGTGGTAATATCCGAATATTATCAGTCTTCTGTAAACTAGAATGACCACTTTTGAAATATCTTTTGTATTATTCAGCTTGATGTACATTCTGAAATGTCCTGTTTTCAGGGATACATCGTTCCACAAATCTTATGGCTGGATTCTCTGGTGAGAGTCTGGCCTATAGTGTCAATTCTAGGATGTCACTTTTTTCTGCCTCTAGTACCTCTGACCATTCGTCTTCTTACTAACCTGTTGCCACCCTCCTAGCAATCCCACCTCCTCCCTTGTTGAACCTTCATCTGCTCCCTCGACTCTCTGCTCATCCTCTCATTAACATTGCATATCAATTACTAATATAGCTCTGAAAAAAGAAGCATGCCATTTAAGAATGATGTCCTAAAATACACTATACGCCAGGGGTAGGCAACCTTGGAACGCCAGATGTTGTGGAACTACAAGTCCAATGAAGCATCGCAAGACTGACAGCCACAGGCATGACTTGCAAGGGAATGATGGGATTTGTAGTTTCACCACAGCTGGAGTGCCGAAATTTCCTACCCGTGCTGTAGGCCAGACTCTAAGCTGAGAGTATAGCTGTCCCTATGGAATTAAAGAAGAACTCCAGGCAAAACATTTATTAACCCTTTCTGTGGGGTTACCTCTGCACTGCAAGGGTTAACTGCTCGTTTTAGTATAAGTGCTTTAAAAAGTTGTACTCGCCCATACTGCTGAGCCGGCTTGCTCTTAAGTCCTTCCAGCCTCTCTCCCCCTCCTCTGCAGTGGTCTAAGGTCCCGTAAATCATCACCTTCTATGCACTGTGTATAGATGTGAGGACGCGGAGGAACATTGCAATGCTGCAGCATTGGAGGAGAGAGGCTTCAGGGACTGGAGAAACATGGAGCTGGCTCAGAAGTTTGAGTGAGTATCATTTTTTTTGGGCACCTAGGCAAAAATGAGCAGTTAACCCTTGCAGTTGGGCTCCTCCCCGCACTGCAAGGGTTAACTGCTGGTTTTTGCTTAGGTGCCATAGAAAAACAGCAATTTATACGGAGTAGTATGAGTAACACAAAGAGCAGCCGGGAGGTGTAGAGAGCAGTGCTCAACAGCAGCCATACTTCATTTTATTGTACTCATAACACATAGGATTTTGGATTGGATGTTGTTGGTTGCAGCACTTTGCATATCACCGTTTTACTCTTTTTTGCTCTTCCTTCTGAAGACGCCTCACAGACTGGATGATAGAGCATTGAATTGCAGTATAGGTGTCACAATACCAGTGAAAGCTGAACTGCAGCCATCATTTTTTGGGGATAGAATTGGAAAGGATTACAAGCTCTGTCAGTCTTTTTTATTGTTGTTTATATACCAAGTTGCGTCTTTGTAACAGGAGTACAGACCAGGAGGTCCGCGTAAAATGCCTCTTCAGGTACACAGTCTGCAATAAAAACGTGGGCAAGGTTAGAACCTCAGCCAGGTACTTATTGCTTTGTCCCCATTCATGAGATTCTCTCCCTACTTCCTGTCCAGGTAATCAGTGTCAGGCAGAACAGGAAGTGAAAGGAAAGTAAAAACATGACAGAATGTATGTCTTCCCCACTCCATCCAGAAAAATCTTTGACTGGAGTTGGGCTTTAAATATAACTGTTGTCATCGGTGTGTAACAACTCATAGATGCTGAAACAATGACTATACGGCCTCATTCACACGAGAAACGTCCGGCACATACAGCTCTGTGCTGCGTGCGGGGCCGTATTGGGCAGCTCCCGGGAAGGACAGGGGCTGCGTGTGATTAGTACCCAGCCCCTGTCCGTCTCTATGTGAGTACGGGTTGTACGCTGTCCTACGCTCACCCGCCCTGCACGTCCGTGCGGGTGTCCGTACTTGTACGCTAACAGGATGGATCCTGTCTGCGTCCGAGCCAGGACACCCGCACCCGTACGGCCCTGCACTTGTGAGCGTAGGGCGGCGTACAGCCGTGTACTCCCATAGAGAAGGACAGGGGCTGGGTACTAATCACACGCAGCCCCTGTCCTTCCCGGGAGCTGCCCGATACAGCCGTGCTCGCAGCACAGAGCTGTACGTGTAGGCCATTTCTCGTGTGAATGGGGCCTAAGTAATGGTTTACCACATTTCGGGTCTATTTGTTTTCTGATAACAATCAGCCTGGTGTAATCTCCAAAATGTCAGAGAAGTGTAATGACTTGTGCTTCAAAGATCTTGCGTGATAAACAGTAGTTTTCTTCTGCAGAAGATGAGTGTAGATGACCTCATTACAGATAATAGGTGCTAGCGATGGAGCGGCCGATCATGGGTGCCCAATGACAGCACATGTATCCATGTAACATTCTATTAGAAGCTATGAAGGACCAAAGACATTGTGCTAGAGGATGCAATATCTTTATATCATGGAAGAAAACATGTCAGACCACAGCCCTGTCCTTCTAAATCCACTACCTTCATTTTTAAGGGAAACTATAAGAGTTTTAGGTTTTTAAACTGATATATTATTTGTATTTTTTACTATAATGAAGGTATGGAAACATTTTTATTTAGACTAAAGTTCCTAAAAGTCTCTGGCTTGTGGTCTGATGGAGTTCCTTTGCGAAAGGTACATAGATCTGCATAGTATGGTTTGTGAAGTTCTTCTTTTGCAAATCACAGCGGACATTATCTTTACAGAGCTCTTTCCTGCATTGTGTTGTGTGGAAAATACTTCTGTCAGAGTAGAGTTTCTCCCTAAGCTCATTTAGTGTGACAGAATCCAAATGTTTTCCACTTCGTTTAGCTCACGAGTTTAGCTCATGTAACAAAGCTCAATCATAAATTTGCAGCTGATAGTTCGTTTAATAATTTAAATTTGAAGTAAAGCCCCAGTCAAACCTTTTTATTATATAGCTTAGAGCTTTTTAGAGCTCCTGCCAGGTTTTAATAGCTGTGTCCCTGTTGAGAAGGTTTCCCTTCTTTATTTCCTGTGTTTCTGGGACATTAAGTGAGGGGGACCTCTGCATCATGGAAGCGGACCGCAATTACAGCCTGTCTGTATCCTCCAGTTAATGAGATTTCTCCTCATGCCATGTCTTAGTGACAAAAGAAAGCCAGACAGATTTTCTGTGGATTCTGGTTTCCAGGGCTTTGGCTTTGGTAACAATTGCAGCAGGAAGGACATCACAAAGGATCTCACTGCAGGAGAGATGAGTATCCAATCAAGGAGGTACATTTTACATTAGCATTAGGTTAGCATTAGGGTTTAAGAAAAGGTTAGTGTAAAGGTGCCCATACACCTTACGAATATCGGCCGATTTTCGTAAGGTTGATGGGCAGTGTACAACCGCAAATACTGTACAATCGTACGACTTTTGACTATCCAGCAGGTTAGAAAACTTCGGTCAATCGTATGATTTTCGCAAGGTTGGTGCCGTTTCCGTACGTCCTAATTTGTACAATTTACACTGCACATGCGCAGACAAAAATACGTGCGGTCAATTATCGCAATTCGTCCAGGTGCTTTCTTTTAATTCTGATCCAACCTAGCGATAATCAGGGCAGGATGGGGCCGCCGTACGAAAATCATACGACGGTTCGATCATCTGACGAAAAGTGTAATCTGATGATCGCAAGGTGTATGGGCAGCTTAGGGTTTCATGGAAGGTTAGTATTAGGGTTTCTGGAAGGGTTAGTGTTAGGGTTTCTGGAAGGGTTAGTATTAGGGTTTCTGGAAGGGTTAGGGTTTCAGGAAGGGTTAGTGTTAGGGTTTCAGGGAAGGTTAGTATTAGGGTTTCTGGAAGGGTTAGTGTTAGGGTTTCTGGAAGGGTTAGTATTAGGGTTTCTGGAAGGGTTAGCGTTAGGGTTTCAGGAAGGGTTAGTGTTAGGGTTTCAGGAAGGGTTAGTGTTAGGGTTTCTGGAAGGGTTAGTGTTAGGGTTTCTGGAAGGGTTAGTTTTAGGGTTTCAGGGAAGGTTAGTCTTAGGGTTTCTGGAAGGGTTAGTGTTAGGGTTTCTGGAAGGGTTAGTATTAGGGTTTCTGGAAGGGTTAGCGTTAGGGTTTCAGGAAGGGTTAGTGTTAGGGTTTCAGGAAGGGTTAGTGTTAGGGTTTCTGGAAGGGTTAGTTTTAGGGTTTCAGGGAAGGTTAGTCTTAGGGTTTCTGGAAGGGTTAGTATTAGGGTTTCTGGAAGGGTTAGCGTTAGGGTTTCAGGAAGGGTTAGTGTTAGGGTTTCAGGGAAGGTTAGTGTTAGGGTTTCTGGAAGGGTTAGTGTTAGGGTTTCAGGGAAGGTTAGAATTACAGTTAGGCCCCATTCACACTCCGCTATATGCAAATCGCGCGTTTGCTGCGCGATATCGCGCAAATGTTTTTACTGAAAGCATTTGGATTGCAGCAAAATCCGCTCCAGAAAGGGTCCTGCTTTAGCGACACACGACCCGAGACAGCAGGACCCTTTGCCCCATTGAGAAGCATTGGAGAGCGATAATTTGCCGCGATATCGCGGGAATTACCGCGCGATAAATCGCTCAATGTGAACGGGGCCTTAGGGTTAGTGTTACAGGGAAGATTAGTTATAGGGTTGGTGTTAGGATTTTAATGAAGGTTATTGTTAAGGTTACAGGTAGGGATAGAGTTTCAGGGAGGGTAAGTGTTAGGGTTTCAGGGAACATTAGGGTTACAGGGGAGGTTACTGTTAGGTTTCCAGGGAAGACAATTAACTTTACAGGGAGAAATGGTGTAAGAGGGCCTTAGAGCTTTGTGTTTTACCTTGGTTAGTAAACCATTTTTGTATTCTTCTAGTTTAGAATGAGCTAGCTGGACCAAAGCTTACAGGGTCTTAAGGCTTAAACTGAAGTCACAGGGCAGTTGCAGGGAAATGTACAGATTGATCAATAAATGATACAGTGACTATTC